AAGACTCCAGCGCACCCCACACTCGAGGGCCTCTTACCCTGTCCACCACGTCTGGCAAAACCTGTCATCCTCTGGCTATCTGAATCCGTGTGTATGCGCTGGGGTCGGGGAGCTGTTCTCCCGCGGAGACAATGCCCAGGCCCCTGAGGCAGGCTCTGGGGGCCCTGAGGAGTGTCAGTCAGGAGGGACTAATTTAATTACTGGCCCCTTTCATGTGCAGCTCTGGCACACTGCGTCAGTTGGGGAGACCAACCCCTAGACAAACACCTGCAATCGCTCAGGAAAAGGACATGTTTTGTTCAAAGTCCAGTGTGCCTGTTCCCAGCCGGGCAGCTCTCTGGGGCAGCCCTCCTCTGAGATCAGGCCCTAGCCTCCTTTCTTTTGCTGCCCTGGTCCTCCACGTGAGGCCTCCTGGGTCACGATGAAAAGGGAAGAATTCTCTGCCCTCTGGCCCTCCCAAGTCTCTCATCACTCCCCTCCCCCATCCAAACCCCCTCAAATCTCATGGTCACCTCCTCCTCCATCCCAGCCAGGCCAGGTGGCTGTGGCCAGCATTCCCTCTGCTCCCCATCCCTGCTCATTCTGTGCCCCACCCATTTGGGGACCCTCTTTGAGGCCAGAAGGGCGAGTTACCTCGTGCAGCCTCTGAGGGTTCATCTGCCGTCCCTGAGATAGCTCCAAGCCGGCCCCCAGGGACCTCCCATCCAGGGATTCACACCCTTGTACAGTGTGAGCGGGACTTAGTGACTCACATCTCACGAATATGATAGGGCAGAATTGATGGTGTGTGACACAGAGGCGAGGTCATAAAAGGTAGTGTGGCCCTTCTCTTTACTTGCTCTGGGAGAAGGCACACCACTGGCAGCCCTGTGGAGAGGCCCGCACAGAGGCGGACAGAGCCTCCTGCCGACAACCACATGGGGGAGCTTGGGAGTGGTTCCTCTGGCTGACTCAAGTCCTCAGGAACTGCCAATGATGGCGTGGCTGCAGCTCAGGAGACGCCTGAGCCAGTATCCCTCATGGAAGCTGCTTCCAGATTCCTGACCTCAGAAACTGTGAGACAATGACTATTTGTGGTTTAAAGCTTCTCAGTTTTGAAGTCACATAGCCATGGAGAACTTATTTAGTGACCTCCAAAAGCAAGGCCTCGGTCTTCTCGGCCTTGTCCCTGCCCCAGGCCTCCCAAGAGGAAGTGCCATGCAAGGATTCATTTATCCAACCAGTTCTCACCCAGTGTGGCGCTGAGGTGCCTTGAGTCCAAGCAGGGTGCTGGGGTGGGGCTGAGGGTGGCCAGGATCTGGTCTTGGCCCTCAGGGCTTTCCCAGTCTATTGGCAGACACAGGAGTCCACTCACCCATTAATGACCGTGGACCATGGCCCTGTCACCCCTAAAACGAGCCCAAAAGAGAGGTAACTAACTCTGCTTCAGGGCAGTGAGGTGGGAGGCAGGGTAGGAGAGCAGGTGGGTGTGCTAATGGCCGACAAAGGAGGCGCCCTTTGGGGATGGGTGACATCAACCAGTCTAGAAGGAAGCATGTTTCAAGGCAAGGGAACAGCATGCCCTGGGACACAGCGGATGCGAGAGCAGTGTGCACTCAACAAGCAGCGAGGGGTGCCAGGGTGATGGGGCGCAGGGGAGAAGATCCAGCGGGAGGCTGGTGAGGTCTAGGGGCAGATGAGGAAGGCTCTGGAGGCTGAGGAGTTTGGGCATTATCCTGAGGCATTGGAGACCATTTTAGGGTGTTGGGTTTTGTTTGGAGAGTGGAGGCAGGTGCTACACGTCGATAGGCTGGAGGGGGCTCACTGGAGGCAGAGGTATCATGCATGGGACTGGGACCACCCAGCAGCCACCCAGGTATGAGTGCCATGGCAGAAGAAGGGGAAGTCGGGGCACCCCGTGAGACCCCTACCTCAACCAGGGGCATTAGGAAAGGCCTTCCCGAATAAAGAAAACCAGTACTGAAGGACGAATGGGAATTTCCCAGACAAAGGGGGAGGTGGGGCAGGGGAGATGCCATTCCAGGCAGAGGGAACAGCATGGGCAAAGCCTAGAGGGGAGAAAGAGAGTAATTCTGATACAAAGAACTACATACAAATGGTTCAGTGTGATGGGAGCCCATGATTAAAGGAGGAGGACAAATGAGGACTGAGAAAACTGGGCCAGATGATGGAAGAGTGGCGAAAGGCACTAAGAAGCTTGGACTTGAAGGTGGACATCTGTCTTCCATGGACCTCTGCAGAACCACTGTCCACCTGTCTGCACCCCATTCCTTCCTGGAGGCCTACCTGTGTGCACTGCAGCCTCAGGCCCTTGTGCCCTCCAGCTCACAAAGGGGCTCAGGCAGAGGGGAACCTTGGCAGAAGAGAGAGCGGAGAGAGGGAAGCGGGAATGCCCATTCCTGGCTCCTTCCCTGCAGGGTCCCCTGCATGGCCTGTGTTCTCCGACCAGCGATGGCTCCTACACCCTGGCTGGTCACAGAGGATGGACTAGGGAGCGCGAGATGGGGATGGGGCAGCAGCTGAAAAGGAGCTGGTGCCCTGTGGATAAACTACAGCTTTTATCATGGTCACACAGGGAATTCCGCTACACTTGAGGGTGGGGTGGGGGGTGTCCCACAGCAGGCTTTCATTTACCACTGTTTGTTTTTTTTAATTTATTTGACAAACAGAGATCACAAGTAGGCAGAGAGGCAGGCAGAGGGAGGAAGGGAAGCAGGCTCCCCGCCGAGCAGAGAGCCAGATGCGGGGCTGGATCCCAGGACCCGGGGATCATGACCTGAGCCGAAGGCAGAGGCTTTAACCCACCGAACCACCCAGGCACCCCCATTTACCGCTGTTTTGTAGATTGTTGGCCAACATCGCCACAGAATCTCTTCATGGTCTTCCAGCCCACTGTATTCTGACACTGATGCTGCTTCCAGGCAGAGGCGGTGCCTATTCCTAACGCTTAAAATGGTGGGGGGGGGGATGCTCAGGAGTGGCTTTGATCCACGGAATGGAATGAAAAGATGCTGGGCAAGTTGCTCAGGCCAGGATTTAAGAGCTTGCAGCCAGCCTTGCTCCCATTCTTACCAAATCCAGCCACCACCGAATGCCAAAGACCCATCAGACTCACCTGTCAAGAGAGGCCCAGCCCCAGTTGTATGCAGCTGCAAGGAGCCCAGGGCAGACCGAGAAGAGCCACCTGGCCAGCCCACAGAATTGCGAGAAATACCAACTCCTTGCTTCTTCAACCATTCAGCTTTGGCATGGCTGGCTAGACAGCAATAGAGAACTCTGATGGGCAAGTACTTCTCTCCTTTACAAATATTGCCCATCCTTCACAGCCCTGACCACCTGTCACCTCCTCCACTTCCTCCTCTGAAATCATCACTCCCTCCCCTGAACCGCACACTCTCTGTTCCCACTTCCCTTGTGACCCTTCTAGCATACTGCCTCATCAGCTACCAGGCACCTTCCGAGACACGGGGTACCTTTATCACCTGAGTCCTAATTTACCCATATTCCACACCATTCCAGACACGATGTGGGGTGGCTTACACATTTAAAATATTATCTTACTATGCTCACACGACCAGAGATGGGTATGGTAGTCTTTATTCCTCAGATGGCAAAATTGAGGTTCGGAAATGACATGACTCGCTGAAGAAGGGATGGGCCAGGATTTAAACCCAAGTTTGCAACTCGCAGATGTCCCTGCTGTTGTATTTATGGGTATGATTTGCTCCTGGAGGGAAAGGATGCTGCTTCCCTGCTGGAAGGGGAGGGGAAGTCACTAGGACGGTCCCCACTGGCCATCCTGACCTTCACTACTGACATATGTCCCAAACCTAGGAATCCAGAATCTTCTCATCGGGGCATCTGTCCCCATGTCACCCACCCTGCAGACACACAGAAACATACACTCCCGGCAGCTGGTCTTCCTTCTCTGTGTCGGTTTTCCCTGCGTCTTAACACAGTCTCTCAACTTCCTTGCCCAGCAGATCAGGACCAGGGCTGGTAAGGTTGGGGCTGACGGATCAGGAAGGATGAGTCAACATGGTGTTCTCTGGTCCTGTCCGACCCACCTTCTGGGAAGTAGAGGTGTGGCTGTAGGGCCACAGGGCCAGGGTGGGGGTCCAAAGAGAGGCTTTGATGAGCCCTCTTTGTTGAGGAATCAGGAGGAACAGAAGGCGGCTAAAACAAAATCCTTTCATTTGTTGAACTGATGTTTATGAGACCCTCCCCCCACCTTTCTCTGCCAAGGTCAGGGCTGAAATTACAATGGATGAGCTCTCCACCTCTGTAATGTCAGAGCTGAGGCTCAGGGTTCATCTTAGTCAGTCAGGGAAACTGAGGCTCAGAAGGAGGGCGAAGAGGGCTGCCCAGCACCATACAGCAGTGACAGAGCACAGTTCTCCTCCTCCACCTTTCCAGCCCCTGTGGCTGCTAGTCTACAGCTCGGAGGAACCAGAAATGCACAGGTGCTTAGCATGAGCACAGAGACTGCAAAGCCATCCCTCCTCTCTGGCACAGGGAGGGAGGGGCGGAGACATCCAGGGTGCGGGATGAGGGAGCTTGTAGGAGATGGGGCTGGAGCAGACGCTTCTTTTGTGCCATTACACAAGGTCAAGGAAACTCAAGGTCAAGGAAACTCAAGGTCAAGGAAGAAAAACCAGGTGACAGTGGCCCCTCTCTTTCTCTGTCCCTGGAGTAACATGACAACAGGGGACCAAGACCTTAGAAATCCCTCTCTTCCAGCAGTCTCTCCATTCACAGAGGAGCAGGCCAAGGAGAGGGAGGCTGGCAGGGGTTTCGCAGCAGGGGTGAAAATCACCAACGCCAGAGCTGGGTGTCCCCTCCCGCTCACCGGCTGGGACTTGGGGCCTGGTGTGGCTGGATTTGCAGAGGTCTGGGAAGGCTGTGAAGGTATGTTCAATAGATGTCTCCAGGAAGCCTTCTTAGATCATAGCACCTTCCACTGGGCTCCCTAACGCCAATCCTGCCCTCTGGGGAGGCGCTCAGCAGAACTCCAAGTGTTGGTCCGCGGGGATGTTGTACTTCAGCTTGTGGGCTTCGAAGAGGTCGCACAGCTCCCTGATATAGCGCTGGTGCAGCTTGTCCACCTCCTCCTGCGAGGGGTACGGTGTCTTCTGCACCTCAATGGGCTTTCCCACTGCAAGGCACAAGTGTGGGTGTTGGTCCGGAGCAGGAACCATGGGGCTGCAGGAGCCCTACCCCACGGCATCCCTGCACAAAGTGCTCTTACTGCCATCCCTTTCAACCCTGTGTTGGGTGATGGCTTCTAAGATGTTATGGTAACTCCAAGATTCTGATATAGTAACACCTGTGGGCATTGCCATGTGCCATGGAATGCACCAGGCCCTTGCCACGCATCATCTCCTTTAATCCCTGTAATACTCCTATGGGGACAGAAGCTCTTATCCCCTGTTGACAGGTGGCGCAATGAGGCTCAGAGAGGCTAAGCAACTTGTTCAAGTCACACATGGAGGAAGAATCCCATTCCAGTTTTCAAATCCTGGGGATATGCTCGTAATTTCCAGACCACAGGGTTCTGGGAGCCCAACATGTCATCAACAGAGGTACCTGTAGATCTAGGATGAGGTGGGCCCACAGCCCACACAGCTCTTCCTCCTCCTCCTCTCTCCATCTGGCCTGTTCTAGGGAAGCCCTAAGTGACCTCCTTCCTCTACTCCTGCCTGGTTGGGGTGATCGCTCCCCAGCCTTCTCTTGGCAATAGGTCTGGGGGCAGCAGGAGTATGAACGAACACTCTTGAAAATATTGCCACAATACACAGCAAAAGTCATGGTGTAGGGGTACACCAAGTCGTGCTCAACTAGCAAATAAACAGATGGAAAAAGACGAACCTTCCTCTATAGGCTTCGTCAGAGGGATCTAGCTGGGATCTAACAAGAAAGCAAATGAGGATTCCCAAGAGCTGAAAAAGACAGTGCTGAGTCCATGGACAAGAGCTCATGCCCATTATTTACGGGAAAATCCCTCAGGCTCTAATACCAAGCGTAGCATTTCCTACTCTATACACAATTCTAATAGACTTGGAATGCCCTTTCCTTGTCCCCATCCTCTCCAGTAAGCCTTATGAGATCCTTTGGGTCAGAATTAAACCTCCTTCTCTAGAAACGTAAAAAGTCAAATAAATCCTGATCCAATCCTGAACCTTGTTACTCAAAGGCAGAGTGTTCTTTTAGAAGTTACTTAACTTCTCAGAGCCTCAGTTTACCGTTAGTGAAAGGGGGATGGTAGTCCCTGTCTTAAAGGTCGTTAGGGCAGATCGAGCTGCTGCACATTAGGGACCCTGCCTGGCACACAGCAGCCACTCTGTAATCCGTGGTGACTATTGTTTCTTGTGCCTGTTTCAGTTCCCATCCCAGAGTGCCTTCTATCAGGCTTACCTGCTTGATAAGCAGTGTCTGTTTCCTGGTCTCGTGTGTTTCCCAGTCTAGAATGTGAGCTCCAGGAGGGCAAGGATGTGTCTGACCTGTCTCCATGTCCCCTTGCAGCCCAGAGCCCAGGCCTCTTTCCCTGTAGGCAGCGCCCCCCTCCACCGCCCGGCCAGGCTGGCTCATGGCTCACCCACAGTGGTGATGGGCTGGCGGTAGGGTATGAGACCAAAGCTGTATTGGAAGACACCACGGCCATGGAAGAGCGGGAGGGAGATGCCCATGATCTTCTGCAGCCGGTTCTGGATCCAGCGCAACCAGGAGCCAGGGGAGTTCTCAACCTGGTCAAAGAGTTCATTCTCCCCGAAAGAGAAGATTGGCACCAGAGCTGCCCTGGAGAGAGACAGGACAGGATATGCGTGGAAGGTCTCATAGAAGGCCCCGCTAGCTTCCTGCAGGGACCCAGCGACCAGGAATTAGAGCAGAGGATGGAGCCCTGGGTCAGCTGTCAGAGGCCTGGGTTGCTTCCCAGCCCTGCCATAGCTTTGCTTTCTGACCTTGGGCAGGTCCTAGTGCCTCTCAGGGCCACAATCTCCCAGTTGTAAGGGACAGACAGACCAGAATGTTTCAGAGCCCTCCCAGATAGAAAACATCCGTGAGCTTTGCAGAGAAATCTCTCCGGCCCCAGCTAGCTTGTGTTTTTTAAAGATGCTTCTAAGTAGAAGAGTTCTGTGATATGCCCCACACTCCATCCTCCCAGATCCCACAGATGTCAGATCTTTTACCAGCTTTGGGCAGACATGTCCCTTCCCACTTAGTGCCTTTGATCACCAAGCCTCCCTTCTGAAATCTTCTCTGGTATGTGGGCATGCCATAGTACATCTCTCACCAGAATTTAATCTTTGTTGTAAACAGACTGAGAATCTCCCTGCCAAAATACAAGCCACTTTGTCTCTGCTGTCTTCCACCAAAATCTAACCCTTGCAAATCTCCCCTGGAGCCAAGAGCCCTCTCCCCAGATACCCATGCATCAAGGCGAGCCTGACGAAGCCCTTGCGGTTCCGGAGCAACAGCGTGAAGGCTCCCGGCCTGGCGTTCAGGGCCTCCTGGGCACCCCCTACAACGATGGCCAGCAGATTGCCACCTTCCTTCCTGCTCAGAATGTGAGCAGCGCTCTCCTTGTCCGACGTAACCAGCCCTGGGGAGAGAGGAAGGTGCTCAGGTACGGGGAGTGGGCAGGGATGGTGGTGTGGGTGAGACTAGAGAGAGAGACCACCGAAAGTGGCCGCAGAGGCCCGGGTCCCCACCCCACTGCCTCCAGTTGGGCGTCCCCTGAGGACTGGAACTGAGTCCTCTCCCAGCTCGCGGTTGTGCGGAGTACTCCTTTGGGTCTAGCTACTTCTCCCATTGCACGCGCACTTGCAAGAAGTATGGAAGTGCTGGCAGCCCTCCCCTCCCTAAGATGCCTCATCCCTTGCCTCCAGCCTCATCCTCCTGGGCTACCCATGGGTGTAAAGACTCACCCCCCGACATGATGTAATCCCTGAAGAAAGGGGCCCGGAACCACAGGGTCAGCATCATCAGATGGGGGCGGATGCCCGGGAAGAGTGAAGGGAAGCCCGTGCTGTCCGTGCACAGGTTGACAAAGGCTCCGGCCGCCAGGACCCCGTGGGGGTGGAAGCCCGCAAGGTAGTTCCGGGAGGGGTCCAACTCAGCAGTCTTGACCAGCTGCAAGGACAGCAACCCGGTGAGCTGGACGGGACCTGTGCGCCAACCCTGACCATGCCACTCATCAGGGTGACCTTGGGCAAGCCGCTCTCCATCTCTGAGCCTCAGTTTCTTAAGAATACTGAGATATGGTGTGTGAATGCATCCAGGGACACCCTCTCGTATTCATGGCTGACTCTGGACAAACTGTTTCCCTCTCAGGCTCTCCATCTGTAAAATGGGGACATTTAGCCCTGACCTGCCTACCTCCCAGGGCTGCTAAGAAGCCCTGGTGTGCAGTACCCTGAAACTACCAAGATTACTACAGGACCAGGTATCATTTGAAGGCATTGAAGGGACACACGGGGGTGCCACCATGCTGGAAGAGCCCCAGTTTAACAAAACTCAATGTAAGAAAAATGGGCACTTAAGACCTGGGAATGAGCGTTGCAATCTTGCTATCTTAGCAGTAGTGGTTGGAAGAGCACGCAGCCAGAAGGCTTAACTACCCTTCTGTACAATGCAAGTGTCTCCCTGGGGCTCCCTGCTCCCCCTACGCTGACCCTCATTGCCCCTCAACCATTGTCTTCTGCTGGCAAGCAACTTGCCAAGGTCTGGTCATGTCTGCAGCATGGAGCGGGAGGTAGAGACCACCCGCCATCACAGATGGCCTGGGAGAGGAGAGCTGCTCCTTTAGCAGCTCCCAGGTATAGCAGGATGAGGGTGGAAGGGCAGGAACTGAGCTAACAAATGCTGCTCTTGGCCTGCCCATTCCTGGACAGGCTGCTCCGTGATCCAAGGTGCAGACTATAGCTGTGGGCGGTGACTAGGTGATGGTAGGGGACAATCCCTCCGCCACCCTGCCAAAAACCGCAGGCCCACCTTTTACACTGCCCTGCACTTCAGGAGCCACAGCCATCAAGAGTCTGAAGGCCCCAGAGGCCCCTGGGCCATGCTTCAAGCCCCTGATGGAACTGTCCAGTTCCCACAGCAGTCTGCACTCCCCGGCACAGGGCAGCCCTTTCTGCCCCCGGCTCAGCTTTGCCACGGTGAAAGTTCGTCCTGTCATCAAGCTAAAACTTGCAGCGGGTGGCTCCCTGAGAATTCTTGCTGCCACCTTTGGGGTCCCAGAGGCCTGGCTGCCTGTCCTCAGAGCAGCCTGGAGGGACCTGGGGGCAGCGACAGGGATATGAGACAACTGCCTCCATCCAGGCCGACTAACCCCAGATTCTCCAGCACTTCACCTGGACTTGGTTTCTGCAATCCCCCCAACCCTGCCCAGTATGGCCCCCAGTTACCCACTGATCCTTTGCAGAAACCTACAGGGACCACAGTTGGAGAGACCACTGCCTCCCACACAAAGACAAAGGTCTCTGCTCCCGCAGGGGAAGCTTATTAGAGGTGAAGCTAAAGCAAGAGAGAAACCTCTGGTTATCCTCAGTGGGAAAGGCGCTTGCTTGGGAACCCATCCAGCGTGTTCCTCTACAAACACACCTGGCTCCCCACACTGACGCACAGGCACACGAATTCTTCCTCGGTCAGCAGGAAGGCAATTTTGCACAAGCCCTGGAAAGGCGATTGCGCAATAGCTGAATACCTAAAAGCAGGACTGACCTTTTACCCTAGCAACTCCACTGCTGAGGAATTTCAGCACTGTATTTCATTTTGGCTGTGTCGTTTTGTAAAATGACCTGTGGATGAGATTACTAACCGAAGCATCATTTTTTTGGTACTATCCAAACCTCAGCACCCCCTCCAATGCCCATCAACAGGGCCCATTGAGGCAAATTCTCACAACATCCACACAGTGGGGCACAGGGCAGCTCTAGGGAGGTAGGAGCAAGATCTCCCTGGCCTGGCAGGGAAGACGGCCCCAGTCACTGGTTAGGACAAAGCAAAGGGCAAGTCAAGGTGGGCAGAGTGTCACTGACTGTGCTGGGAAAGGGGACACGCACTTGTTCATTTGCAGACACACCAAACACTAGTGGTCCTAGTGGCCTCTGGGCGGGGGGACTTTTCACCCACGTACCCCCTCGTCCCTTTGGAATTTTGAACAAGAACATATTACCTATTTTGAATGAACAATGAACGTATAAATGAACAAATGAATGAAAGAATGACTATCCTTAATAAAGAAGCCTTTGCATATAGAGAAATACCCTGGTGAATGAGAGGGCCAGTGTCTAGGCACGTGTGCCAGTATCTGCCAGGGCACTGATTTGTGCGTGTGCAAGTGTGTGCACTGATGGGGCCATCACTGTCCCGCAGTTTCCCCAGGCCCATCTCTCAACAAATGCCCCTGTGCCCTCTCACACCCTTGGTGGTGATGGCCACTGTCCTGATGGCTCCTTTATGGCTCACAAAGCACCCACGCCGCCGGCTTGTGTAACCGTGGCCCTAAGGAGGGGGGCTGCAGCGCGAGAGCCCCCATTTGACAGCTGAGCAAACTGAGGTGCAGAGGGGTGTAAGCAACCTGCCCAAAGCCACACAGATGACCTGAACTCAGTTCTACTGTCTCCCGCTGAGAGCACCTGAGAGAGCCTTTATTCCAGAACCAGAGAGACATCCCGAGACTCAGGACTGTCTCAGGGGCCATTTCCTTTCTAGTCAAACTTGGAATGTCCAGGGCTCTCAGGAGAAGGCGCTTCCTGCACCAGCAGCCTGCCCCTCCCGGCTCCAAGACCTGGCCCTGGAGAACCTGTTCATGACCTTTTATATACCTCGGTTACTTGGCAGTTTAAAAATGCAGGGCAAGCAAGGTCTGATTCAGTATTCTGGCTCGGGCCTTGGGGCATCTGATTTGTGGAAGATTTCCCATAGGATTATGATATATCAAAGTTTTAGAGTCACCCCCTTTACAACAAAGGAATCCTTTCCAGCTTCAGGCCTTTGGCCGCGCGTGCGTGTGTGTGTGTGTGTGTGTGTGTGTGTGTGTGTGTGTGTGTGTAGGTACTCGAGTCCTTTCCTGTCTCCTCCCATCACAGCCAGATGGAAAGAAAGGCTTGGCTATTTATTCTCCCTGGCCCTGGCAGCCTCGGTATGCCATCAAGATGGGCTTCAGACCCCCTCGCCCCTGCCCTCTCCCCCTTGCACTCACGGGCTCACAGAACAGACACACACTGACATCTGCAGCTGTATCCCCTCAATTCTAAGATACATCATTCCTTTGCATCTTAACATTATGTTCTCAAAATGCATTTGATGATTCCTCTGGAGGGATTTTTTTCTTAGTGGTACATAAAATACTGCTGCTTTACCATGAAGGATATCTTAGAGGGGTGCCTGGGTGGCTCAGTCCCCCAACTCTTTTTTTTTTTTAAAGATTTTATTTATTTATTTGACAGAGAGAAATCACAAGCAGGCAGAGAGGCAGGCAGAGAGAGAGGAGGAAGCAGGCTCCCCGCTGAGCAGAAAGCCCGATGCGGGGCTTGAACCCAGGACCTGGGATCATGACCTGAGCCGAAGGCAGCGGCTTAACCCACCGAGCCACCCAGGCGCCCCACAGTCCCCCAACTCTTGATATCAGCTTGGGTCTTGATCTCAGGGACACGAGTTCATGCCCTGTGTTGGGCTCCACACTGGGCGTGGAGACTACTTTAAGAAAAAAAAAATGTCTTAGAGTTTAATACAGGATGTGCTAAGCATGGATAGCTGGAAAGACTGCCCCAGGTGGTGCCCATTCCCAGCACCTCCCGTCAGTATACTGACTTGAGCCATCTTCTGTTCATGCTGCCAGGGATGTAGTGGTGACAACATCCCTATTTTACAGATGAGGAAACTGAGGCATGAGGTTAATTAACTGCTTCTAGGTCACATAGCTAGTAAAGTGGCAGAAGCAACACTTTAACACAGGTGGCCTGGCTCCTGCAGGCTCTGCCACCTTGCAGGAGTCCCCAGGTGAAAAGTGGGGGGGAGGGTTAATGGGGTGAAAGGGTGCACTTCCAGTAAGGGTGCCAGCCCAGGGAGCACAGCTCATGCCTGGAGAACTTGAAAGGCAAAGGGGGAAAGTGAGGCATGAGCAGGGGTCCGGGGTCCAGGGACCTGCAGGCTGGGCAAAAATTAGATTTGATTTTTTGGTGTCACGGGAGTCACAGCTGTTGTGGCATTGAGTATCCTGGCTGCTGTGTACAGGATGGACTGTAGCAGAGTCCAGATAAAGAGGTGACTGGTCAGGATTCAGGTAGCTAGTGGGGGAGGAGTTTTGGAGTCAGACTCTGGGCCCCAGAGTAGTTCTCAACCAGGGTCAGTTCCCTGAGCCCACCAGGGTACATGTAATGTCTGCAGACGTTTTTGGTTGTCACACCTGATGGAGGGGAGGGATACTAGTGGGTAGAGGCCAGGGATGAAGGCACCCCCACATCCATCATTTAGCCCCAAATGTCTGTGCTGGGGAGGGACAGCAAGGACAGAACTGAGCAGGAAGGAGGCCCCCTCCCTGCAGGGAAGCTGGAGGGCTGAGAGAACAGCTGTGCCCAAGGCAGAGGCAGGACCCCTGGGGCGGGGCGGGTGGTCAGGACAGGCAGAGCTCAGTGTGAAGGAAGACATTCTTCCAGGCAAGAGCTCTCCCGTGATGAAAGGAGCCATCACAGGATGAAGTGTTACTCCGCCCAAGTGCACGCTGGAGATCTGTCCTAGGCAGGCTGCTGGCTACCCACCTTCTTCTGACTCAGATTAAGAGCCCCCAGTATTCTTGGTAGGGGGGGAGTGGGAGGGAGGGCCTGAAGTCCCCAGTGATGTCCAGAGGGCTGTGAGGAACAGAGGGAGGTCCCAGATGTGGGAGGGGAGGTATCCTGTGCTTCCCCAGGCCTGCAGCATTTCCTGACACCAGGCCACAGCAGTCCATCCCTTCTCAGGCCTTGGCCTCTGGAGACAGTGTTGATTCCAGGAGGATGAAATCTTCACCGGGGGAACCTAGCTCTGGGGCTGGCCTTCAGCATGAGGTGGGATCAGAGTCTCCTACGGGAAACATCGCCTGATTCTTCACCATCAGCTCTTTAGAAGCCTGTAGCATGAGTTCAGAAAGCTGCAAGGCCCAGAGAGTTTCCTAATTCTGCTTGGAATTCCATCCATAGATGCTAGTTCATAAAATCACCCTAAGAACTGATAGAAGAATCTCAGAAATCTATATGCATTTGACAAGGGAAAAAGAATTCTGTCAGTGTGTGGGGGAGAGTTACCTACCTTCCGCCCCTCTCAAGATCTCAGCGGGGCGGGGGCCGTAAAAGTGTGTGGAAGAGTGGGAGGGTCTTCTGGGAAGAGGTGGGGAAGGGGATCTGTGGGCCGGTTCCCCAGCCCTGCAGGCTCCTAGCCTAGGACTGGCAAAGTCAAGTGCATGCTATCTCGCCCTCTGCTGGCCACGTGGTGGTACTGCCTGCCCTCTGCAGGGGTGATCCAACAGGCCCTCAGTGGGCATCAATCCAGAAACACTACACAAAGGACTGAGGCAGACCAGGGCAGTGTCCCACCAGGGCCAGTAGTGCCTGGCTAGGGGAGGATCAGGAAGGGCAGTGGATAGGATAGGCGCAGACCCTGTTTGTCTTTGTGGACAAGATCCCAGAAGCAAATATGGGGAGAAGTCCTCCCCCAACATGGACTCCTGGGTTAGTTCAGCGGCTGCCCATTCACTCTGCCCTTCCACAAGTAGCACCCCTCACGAGTGTGGAATTCTCTGCCACTCAACTTCCTGCCCTCTCCCCAGCCCCCACCCTGATGCTCTACTGCTTGGCCCTGCCCGGCCCACCCTTGCCCTTTGCCCAGGAGGCCTGCTCACTGTGGAGCTCGGGGCTTCGTACCCCAGCTCTTGCCCAGCTTCCCCAAGTCCTCGCCAGGCCCCAGGACTCTCAGAAGGGAGTCAGGCAGGAGCCCTGAATCCACTGCTGAGTGCCCAGGAATCTGTGTCCTCCACTCCCTCCCCCTTTGCCAGCTAGGGACCTAGCTCCAGGAGGGGTGGGAAGAGGTGGAGCTCCAGGATGGGAGAAGCCAGGCAGGTGTGAAGGTCAGAGCAGCTGGGCTCTGGGCTGTCAGAGCCCTCCCCCCAACCACAGCCTCGTTGACTCGGTCATGTAATACTAGCACCTAGTGTCCAGCCAACCTACAGGGTGCGTTCCTGCTGACTCAGCAAATCCGCCCAACTCAGTGACGCGTGTGGCGTCATCTGCACATTACATATGAGGACACCGAGGCTAAGAGAGGCTATGAAACTCCCCCAAGGGCACCACAGGCTGAGGCGGTGCTGGCATTAGAACCTAGGTCTGTCCTGCTCCAGAGGCTGCACTTGTGCCTTTCTTCTCCCGTTTCCAGGGGACGGCCAGCTTTCCCTGCCTGGCACCTCTCTGTGCTCCCCACTGCCTTCCCACCCTGTCCCATCCAGCCAATATGCCAGCCCTGCCCGGCCACTCAAGTCCCAGGATTGTCTGCCTGGCATTTGGTAAAGGAGGCAGAGGGTCTGTTCACGAAAATCTGAGGGTCCGCTTTACTCAAGACTGACGTTTGAGTCCAGGGTCAAGTATCCACAATGAGATGCCCCAAGTCAGAGTGAGAGATTCAAACGTGCACAGGGGAGGAGGGGTCAGTCTGCTTTCTAGATATCTGGGGAAACTGAGGCCCAGAATGGCGAGGTTTTGCTCAAGGACACCCAGCAATCTGGAGATGGGGCAGGACAGAACCAAGAACCAGTTCAGGGCTCTCTCTCCCCTGCCCCTTCCCCCATAGTTCATGCACACGCCTCAAAACCAGAACTTGTCATGTGGAGTTGGTCACACCTTTGTCCCTCTCGGGGTGTCATTCTCCCTACTCTGATAAAGGGCGGGGCTCGATGGTCTCTTGGGACCTTGAGCTTATTACCTTCATCCCCTCCCTGGCCGCTGAGGGGTTACACCTGTAGGATATATGTGTGTGCGCCCACAGAGCACCTCCAAACCCTGACATTTTCCCAACCCTGGAAAATGACAGCCAGAGTGAAGCGGGACTCTTCCCCAGGCCCCACAGTGGTGTAAGCTCTGGCCCCTCCCACCCAGCCCAGCATTCTGCTCCCCGCAGCCTGGGTGGCACTTCCCCCGCAACCCCATCCCCGCCAGTGCCAGTACTCACCGAGATGGGGAAATAGTCCCTCATGTACTTCCACAGGAAGCAGCGCCTTACGGCTTGGATGGGCCTGCCCCCTTGCAATGGCTTGTCCCAGTCCAGGTACCACCAGATCGCATACAGGACACTGACTAACCAGAATCTTGTGAACAGGAGGCCTATGAAGACCACAATGCAGATCTGGGCTGGGGAGGGAAGCAAGAGCTATCAGGGGTCTGAGAGGAAGGAGGTGAGACGTCCACACTGAGTCGCCCGTATGCCCCGCACTAGCAGCACCATCCCTTCCAGCCTGCGGCCCCGGGAGGAAGAGCTCAGCTTCCCACGCCTTCAAGGAGGAAATGCACCCGCCAGTGTCTTGCTTGGAGGAGACTGGAACCTAGGTAGGTCCAACTTCAAAATTCATAGTTCCCACTGTCCTGTCTCCCTTGTTCGCTCTGGCCTCCTCCCTCCCCAACCTCCCACTTCCCCCTATACCCCCCCCCCCCCCCTCCCCCCCGACATTGCCCCCCCCCCCCCCGCCCCCCCCCCCCCCCCCCCCCCCCCCCCCCCCCCCCCGCTGTCCCACCTCCCTCTCTCTGTAGTCTGCACTCCCCAGGTGCTCAGTAAATGCCTGCTTCAGGACTGACTGGATTATCTGTTTCTGGTTTCGATTTTTGGGGACCTCAGAGAAAACGGGGATACTCTTTCTGCCCACCCTCTGCCCCATCTTTTCACGGATCAATCTGGTCAGGTCTTCCTCTCTTTAAAGCCCTGCCCTGGCTTTCCTGTAACTCTGGGAGGAGCTGGCTGGCCCTACCCACCTCCTGCTCCAGCCTCTCCTCGCCCACTTGCACCCCCAGTGCTCTGGCCACACTAACTGCTGTTCTTATAGCTCCCTGAACTCCTTTAGTCCCTTAGCTTTTGCTCATGCTGATTCCTCCTTCCCACAGTGCCCTTTCCCAGTGAAGGAGGGAAGGGGAAAGAGGCCAAACCCCTGGCTGGCCGATGCTCAGGGGTGTAGCAGGGCTGGGCTAGGACAAGGCCCAGTGAGGAGCTCTCCCTCTGACCTGCAGGTCTGAATCCCTTGCCATAGGGTAATCCCAGCTTCATTTCAGGGTCAGTGGGTCTGTAGGCCGTCTCTAATCTGATGCTGATGGAAAGAACACTGCTAGAGAATATGGCTCTTTCCTCCACTCAACACCTTGCACTCATTCTCTTAAAGAAGGTCAGCTTTCAGTTGTATATTCTACTGGAAAGGACGGTAGTTGGGCGTGTCATTCCTGGCAGGTTTTCTGGTGGAGGGGACCTTGATCCAGTCCAAACAGTGGTAGAGTTCATAAGGCAGACGACATAGCTCACGGGTGTTCACTTTACACAGAGCAGCTCTGACGGGGCAGGTGCTAGTGGGCGGCCTTGAAGGACAGACACAGAGTCCTGCCCTCAGAAAGCTAACGTTTGAGGGTCCCCGTTTGGGGCACTTTGTGTTTTAAATTGTTACTGCGATAAAAGGCACATTAACATAAAATTTATCACCTTAACCATTTTTAAGCACAGTTCAGAGGCAGTAAGTCCATTCCCTGTGTAGCCATCACTACCACCATCTCCGGGACACCTCCCCCTCTACCTTCCCTCCCCCTCCCAAATTTGAACCTCTGACTCCCCGAGCCCCCTCCCCCAGCCCCTGTTGGCCACCATTTGCTTTTCCGGCTCTACAAAAGGGACTGTTCTAGGAAGCTCATAGAATCAAGTGTTGGTCTTTTGGTGACTCACTTGTGTCACTTCACATGATGCCACAGTGGCCCGCTCATGCCATCCGTGCTGCCCCATGTGTCAGAATTCCCTTCCCTTTTGGAGCTGAACGCTACTCTCTCGTGTGTGCCGACCACGTGGTGTTCGTCCAGTCCTCTGTCAATGGACCAAGGGCCTTTCAATCTGCCCCGTGGCCCCTATCTCCTAAACAGCTCCCAAATGGGGCCACATCTCCCCACCCTCTGCCAGCCTCACTAGACCAGACTTGGCAGTCTTTTTCCTAAAGGACCAGATGGTCAATATTTTAGACTTTGCGGCTCAAGACCCAACGTGGATAATATTACATAGGTCCCTAACCATTTAAAATACAACCCCTTGAAAAAATGTAAACTTAGCTCATAAACTGTACAAATACAAAAGCAGTCAGTGGGCAGGATTCGGCCATGTGCCATAGTGTGGTGGCCTCTGATGGGGACTGGGACGGCTCCCTGCCATCAGCCCATCCCCCCACACTCAAAACACAGTACGTACCACCCCTGCAGCCACAGGAAACTTCAGCACCCAGAGTGGACCTCGTCACTCCCCTATCTTAAGCCCTTCTGAGGCTTCCCTTTGCTCCCAGGATGAGGGATAGGGTAAAACCTCCTACTCCCAGGACCAGGGGGCCCATATCCCTTTTCCCAGCCTTCCTCCTTCTAGTCCTCCAGGCCCGGAGCTACTAGACCTCTTTGGGCCGCTTCTGACAATCCCAGGCTCCTATGGCCCAGGCTCGCAGGGCTGGGGGGCCGAGGCCGGGTGGGGTGCAGGGACAGGATGTTCAAACACACTCCGGGGCCCCAAGATCACAGAAGGCATGCTGGGCCTGACGAACCTTACCCCCTGGGATCCCCAGGCCACAGCCTACCTCTAGGCCCCCAAGCGACCTTTGTCCAGGAGCCTGCAGACTCGAAGTCAACCCTGTTAGGCCTCCTTCCCAGGCTGTCTCCACCAGTCTCTTAGCCTCTTACGCACACCATCTCCCACACCATCTGCCCTTCTCCTCTCTCTGCCCCTCCTTCCCTTTCTTCCTTTGGCTGTAGAAGGAGCCCAGGACTCCAGACCTACAACCTTGGGCAGTTAAGTTGTTTCTCTGCCAGGGGTGTTTAAAATGTTTAAGAACCCTTGGGAGAGAGACACAGGTGAATCGTAAGGGAAACAGGATGCTGGGGGCCCGCTTTGCTGGGAGTGAATCCTTCAGTGGCAGAACTACGAGGGGGTTCTGAGGGAGCACCTGGGTGTGTGTGTGTGTGTGTGTGTGTGTGTGTGTGATGCTGGTGACCAGCCGGTACAGAGGATCCCCGGACTGTTAACACCTGGATAGTGGCATTCGTGCACAGGCTGAAGACCAGCCCCCAGGGAAGCACAGCCTACCTACACTGTCTGGTGCTGGTGTAGGAACTAAGGAATCCCACACACACACCAACCCCCGCCCCCCGGTCCCCCCACCCCTCCCCCGTCACTCTCTCCCCCTGCTCTGTCCCCCGCCCTCCTCAAAAGAGTTCCCTTCAGGGTGCCTGGGTGGCTCAGTGGGTTAAGCCTCTGCCTTGGGCTCAGGTCATGATCTCAGAGTCCTGGGATCGGGTCCCGCATCGGGCTCTCTGCTCAGCAGGGAGCCTGCTTTCCCCTCTCTCTCTGCCTGCCTGCTGTGATCTCTCTCTCTCTCTCTCTGAAATAAATAAATAAAATATTAAAAAAAAAAAAGAGTTCCCTTCAGCAGAGTGGAGTCTGGGCCAGGGTGGTCTCCCTGACCAGCATCAGTGTGCTTGTGGTGGGGATGGGGTGAGCAGGGGGACCTAAGCATACTTCCCATGGGACCCCCGCCCAGGGGTCCAGCTCAGTGTGCCCTGGGCAAAGCAAGCACATTCCTCACTTCATCCCACAACAGCTCTACCAGCTGGGCAGTGATATTGCCACTCTGCAGCGGATTAGAATTAGAGACTTGCAGAGGTCAGGGGCTCAGTTGCCCAGCCAGACTCTGAGCCAGGCTCGCCTCGGACCCTCCCTCATGCCCCAGTCCCCTGGCAGTCTCTACCTTCCCTCACACTCCTATTCTTTCCCTGTTCCCTTCTCTCTCCCTACCCACCAGTCTGTTTCCTCCTCTCTGAAAGGAAGGCAGGAAATCCGTTCCTTCTGAGAAGCCCTACAGAACCTGGAACTTTTCCATAATCACCTAGGTCCTTCCACACACCACCACCAGGCAGCCTGAGGCAGGGTCTCTGTCCTCATACTAAGCTAGAAACTCAGTAACCTGTCCAAAGCCACACACAATGGCTTCTACCACACCCGGCTATCCCCATGCTCTGAGAGCTCTGAAAGCAGCAAAGTCCCCATTATGGCGAATGTCTTTCCACCATCAATACACTTGTGTACCTGGAGTGGCAGGTGTCCATGATCTCCCAGCCCCCAGCCCAGCTCGCCTTACCCAGGGCCAGGAAGGAGAAGACCCACTGCAGGACCATGAAGGTCTGCAGCCTGCGTTCCCATGGCATGAACAGCGGTGCAAACTTCACCATGCTGGCTCCTCTAATGGCTCCAGCGGCTTATCCGAGTGTGTCTGTGGTGCGCAACACCAACTGATTTTTGTTGATATTGGAAGTTGCATAAGAGTTTGTGGGGAGAATGGAGGAGGAGCATGCCCCACCCAGCCCCACCCAGCCCCACCCAGCTTCAAGGCCTCTGGCCCTAAGGTGGCTGGGATGGGCTTCCTAGGAGAAACCTTTGAATCCACTTACGCTGGTCGTAGGAGGAAGGAGGGAGGAAAGGAAGTGTATTAAGCAATGTCTTATCTGCCAATGACCTTTCTCTGTTTGCTTGAATCTTGCCCTTCACTTGGAAGGTGAAGCCCCAAGTAGATTAATATAATGCTGTCTTCATCTGTCCAATGACCTGGCTCCAATAATTATTTCCTGTCTCTCCTATCCTGTGGACTGCTCCTCCTTCCACGAATGTGCAGTAATAGTTCACACCTAAAAATTCCTGGGCCCCAGCATCTCCTCCATCTCCTGCGCCATTTCTCAGCGTGCCTGCATGGCAACATGCTTGGAAGAGCTGTCTATAACCCCTGCCTTCACCTTCCTTTCTGTCCTCCCCTACTCCATACTTCAGATGCCACTTGTCCATGGAACTACCCTTGGCCAGTTCACCAACAGCCTCCATGTTGCTAAATCCAGGATCAGTTCTCAGATCTCATCTTACCCTATCAGCGTGACCTTGAAACCACCTGGCCAATGGACGGCATGCTCTCCTGGTTTCCTTCCTATCTCTCTGGCAGCTCCTTGGTCTCCTTTGTGGCTCCTGTCCTTTATCAGATTAAATGTTTGAGCACTCTCCTGCCCCCTCAGGCCTTGGGGCTTCTCTCTTCTCTTCACACTCCCTCCCTCAGAGATCTCATCCACACTCATGGCCTTGTAGTCTATCTACACAGTGAAGATTTTCAAATCTCCATCTCCAGCTCTGACATCCCCTGGGGCTCCAGGCTTGAATATCTAGGTGGCTACTTGACATCTTCACTTGAAAGCCTGATGGTCACCTCCATCATAGAATGTCTGAGATCAAACTTGATTTCCCCTCACCTGCCCATGCCAACCTTCCCTCTGCTCTTTGCCATCTCAGTGAAGGGTAACTCCATGAACTTGACTCCTCTGGCCAAAGCCATAGAGTCACACTAGACTCTGTCTCCCTTCATCCACATCTATTGGTTGATTCTCCTAAATCTCTCCTTTTACAAATACACCTTTGAAAGGTCCCCCAATAATGGGTCCGTGATTAAAGGAGCGAGTGATACAAAGCGAAGGTCAAGCAAAGTTTTACTTCACGCCAAGCATCAAGAATCAAAACGAACATTCGGGGCCGTGCCTCTTACAGAGAGGGATACCTCTCTCTGCTTCACAGACTAGCTTTCAAGGGCAAAGGCCATGTGGTTGGGCCTGGCCACATACAGGTGGCCAATGAAATTGTAATACACAGAGAAAGTTGTACAGTTATATTAGGTCACACATAAGTGACCAGTTGAATTACAATTTACCCTAGTAGATATTTGAATTAGCCTATCACCTTAGTGAGAATTGGCGCCCAAAAGGCTCCCAAAGGGCGGGGCCCATACCATCCTTGGTAACTAGGGAGACAGTATGCACCCCCCCACTGATTGGATGTCTCCACTTGGCTTGACCCACCCTTGCATTTGGGCTGTGTTACCTGGGACTGGTTTCCGGGACTTGTTTTTAAGTAGTGACAGTTTTAAGGGTTAAACACCAAAGTTATTGTTTAACCGGATGGAAGCACTCTGGCTAAATAGGTCCTTACAACCTTGAATTAAAGTGTGTTCAACATATAGTAAAATACACAAATCCTGAATGTACAGATGAATACACCTTCACAAAGTGAACACACTCATGGAACTACCACCCTGATCAACGAATAGAAAATGAACAGCACCCCATGTCCTGGTCAGCCACTCTCCTCCTCCCCGTAGGCCATCACCGTCCTTACCTGTGCTTTTGAACTTCATGAAAAGTGAATCTTACAGGATATACTCTTTGGGGACTGGCTACTTTGGCTCAAGATTGTATTTTTGAGAACCATCTGTGATGTAGGAAATAGTGGAGTTCAGAGCCAACAGCCAAGAAAGAATTCTTGAGACATCTTTAGTGCAAAAAGGTGGTTTTATTAAAGCACAGGAATAGGACCTTTGGGCCGGAAGAGCTGCACTGAGGTTGTGATTGATTATATACTTTCAAGTGAGAGGGGTTAGGGACAGCGTAAATTGTAAAGTTTTACATGCAAGGTAAACACAACACCAGGCGAGGTAGGCACAAGGCAAGATTTATTAAAGGCGCTCTCCAGCGAAGTTTCAGGGCTCAGGAGAAGGGGAGCCAGGAAAGTAGAGGCGGGAGGAGTTTGGCATTGTCCGGGGAGGTTCTGCAACTCAGGAAGGGGGAGTTGAGGAAGTCGCGCTGGGAGGGAGTGGGCGGGGTCTTTTATCCGGCCAAGGCAGGGCATGGGCTCATATCCATACATGGTAAGGTATTTGGTGATTGGGGGGTATGGGGGGGGGGGGGTCCTGATACTCCTGTTTCCTGCTAGGTATTGGGTTACCTATGGAGATGTGACCTGGGCATACATCCTTTTGGCGGGGGAGTCAAGGGTTAAGGAAGGGGGGGGGCCTGGAAGATGGTGGCCCCAGCGGTCATTTCTATTGTTCCTCCTGCATTCCTGGAGCCACCAACCCAACATAAGTCTCTAAGGAATTTTGGAAGCAAGGTCTCCAGGACCTCAAGGGGGCTAGCTATTGTTAGGAAAAGGTCATTTATTACTATCTAATAAAACCATAGTCATGAGACTCTTCAGATGTATATCAATGGGCCATATGCTTCGAGGATGAGAATGATTGTTACCATATATCTTGGGGAGGGGCACTCGGGGAGCTCAGTCAGTTGGGCAGCCTACCCTTGACTTAGGCTCAGCTCATGATCTCAGGATCTTGGGATTGAGCCTCACATCAGGTTCCGTGCTCAGCAAGGAGTCTGGTTGTCCCTCTCCCTCTGCTCCACTCCTCACTGGTGTTCTATCTCTCTCGCTGTCAAATAAGTAAATAAAATCTTAAAAAAAAAAAATATATATATATATATATAGGAATATATACATATATATACATATATACATATATACAATATATACATATATATATATATATATATATGTATATACTCCCATATATATATATGGGAGTAGAGATAAAGGAAGTTTGTCAAAGAATTTTTACAAGATAAGGTAGACTTATAGGATCCTGGGGGTCAGGATAATGTTAAGCTAAGATTGCCTTTTGCCCTTAGGGAAGTTTAACGTGAAGGTAGCTGAGTTCCTGGAGGAATGTCACTCTATGTTAAGGACTTGTCAACGGGCTGTAAGCAGTAAGGAAATTGAATGTTTTTTATTCTTTGCCTTTGTTTCCCACATCAGTCTAAGTTGTATTTGTAGTACATTTGTTCTCATGGCCATATGAGATTTACTGTGTGAGTGTGTCACAATTTATCCATTGCATTGCTGCGAGGCATTCAAGTTGGCACGTTTCTGGCTATTATGAACTGCACTGCTATGGATGCCCCCCCCCATTTTATTGCAAAATACTTGCCATGCATCATGATATAAGTTTCAGGTACACGGCACGATGCTTTGATTGACATGTTTTGTGAAAGGATTGCCACAGTAGGATTAGTTTTGAACCATCATCTCATGCAGATACAATGAAAAGAAAGGAAAAGAATTTGTGTTTGTGATGAAAACTCTTAGGAGCTACTCTCTTAATGACTTTGCTATGTATCCTAAAGCAGCGTGGATATTTTTGTCCGTGTCTTTTGGTGCAAATTGGTGTATATTTCTGTCTAATGTGTGCCTGGGAATAGAATGCTGGTGTCCCTGGGATAAAGCCATATAGTTTTCCAAAGCAGCTGGTGCACATTTACACGCCCACAGCCCAACATGGGAGTTCTGCCTGCTTCATATCCTCCTCGACAATTTAAACATTTTAGTGAGTGTGCGGAAGGGCTTCATTGTGGTTCTAGGATTTTCCTAATGCCAACTGAGGTGGATTTCATTTTCTCTGAAGTTCTTGTTCTGGTCTTTTGTTGATTTAAATAACTCTTGCTTCGGAAAGCTGCTTTCCATCCCCACATCCAGCCCCTTTGACCCGCTTGACACCAGCTTTTCTATTGGTCCTTCTGTCGCTAATGCCTCTTGGTCCCCCCACAGTCTCAGCACAGTCAGAGGGACAGCTGGGTCAAAGAGTGTGTGAATGCTCAAGCTTGGGAATAGTGCCAAACTGTTTTCCAAAATGGTGGCATGAGTTTACATTCTGACGGGGAATATGTGAGCAATCCCATAGATGCCTACCCTCTCTGACCTGAGGTATGCTCAGACTTCTTATTGTTTTGCTAGGGTGTGAAGTACTATCTCATTGTGGTCCTGATTTGCATTTCCTGATCATCAATGGTAAACATGTCTTTATTTGTAGGCATTTCCTTTGCTGTGAAAAGCTCATGCTTAATTTTTACCATTTCTACCAGTGTTGTTTGTGGGTTTTGCCTGAATTTAAAGAAGCTTTTCTATGCACTTATGCTACTTGTTCTTGGTTGGTTGCATATATTGTGACTCTCATCTCCTAATATTTAGTTTGTCTTTTCAGGTGTCATTTGATGAGCAAACATTCTTAATTATAAAGTAATCATGCTTATAAAGTCTTTTAGTCAATAGACATTGCTTGGTCTGATTTAAGAAGCCTCTTCCCCTCTGTATTTTCCATTAAGAATTTCAAGTTTTGTTTTTCATATATAAATTCTTTTTTTTTTTAATTTTTAAAAAGATTTTATTTATTTATTTGACAGACAGAGATCACAAGCAGGTGGTGGCAGGGGTGGGGGGAAGCAGGCTCCCCTCCGAGCAGAGAGCCAGCCTACTCGGGGCTGGATCCCATGACCCCGAGATCAAGACCTAAGCTGAAGGCAGAGGCTTTAACCCA